TCACGTTCAACCCTCCCTCTTTACCTGGACTTGGGGCCAGCTGGACGACTAGCAAGGTTGTTAACTAAGCGAAGTTACTCAAAATCAACACCTCTTTATAATTTTAACATTATCCTCTGACTTTTCGAATCACTCAGAAATAAACCTGACAGTATACTAAGGGAATTTCTAGGCTCCAAAAGTTTCTATGATACACACATTGATCAGCGTAAGTTCTAGAAATTCACCTGAGTGGTTCAGGTGCGTAGCTTACCTCGATTAAATTATTAACTGATCTCAGCCTGCTGAAAGCTGTAGTGATTCCAACCCACTAGGCATAATAAAACTTAATTTTTCATTAGGGCTCAACGTTAAATCTACTTTGGGCTGAACAACAGTCGTCAAAACTTTACTGGCTTTATTCCAAAATAGTACTTTAGATACAATGTACAATTTTCAGCATGTTATGCAATACTGCATCCTATTTTCTCTTAACATTACACATAACATGGAGAAAATTTAGATACAGTCTACATTAATCATACTTTTCAATGAGGACATGAACGGACATTTTGAACTTAAGGTGAAACTCTAAAAGCAACATATTAGTGAAAGGAGAAATATACATTGACGTACGCTTATCGTTTAGCAATGAGTTGGTAGTTACTTGACTTACACGTCTACCCACGTAAAATGTGTCCCAAGTAATGTATTAGGGCGCTTTTGTACTTACTCATCCAAGAATAAAGTCTTTATTGTTTACTTCTAGTTCTACCTGACGGAATGCAAGGATATCACTAGGTATTGAGAGAATCTTTACAGTCAGACAACAAAATAATCGCTGACATCTTGTAGGCGTTCAAGTGTCTATTTGCAGCAGTAATAACAAGTTGATTTAGCAATACCCTACTCCTCCTGCTGATAGCTTTTCGTGACTTTCGCAGAATAACAAAGTCTTTTTGAAGCAACCGACGAAAAATGTAAAGGGGATGATAGAGAAGAACACGTAGAATACAAGAATTTGCAAATTGTAAAAGTAGAGGCTGACTGAAATCAGACTGTCTTAATTTGCTTTCGTATAAAGGTAGACGAACATGGTGGAGAAAGACAAGGAAAGATCAGAGGATCTTCACCATCCACGGTATTCAGAATATGACTTAGTATGAAAACAAGAAAAGCGATCAGTGGTAATGTTTGTAGCTTGGAAATCATAGCATCTGTGCATGATATATCTGAGACCTTTAAAGCTGATCAGCATCCATTTAAGATGGATCACTGTTGGTTTGGTTTCCACCAGTCATTTCCGTACATAGTTTCCGCATGTGTGATGAGCTTTTGCATGACATAATTAAAGCTGTCAGTTCATTTAACCTGAGGATTATCTTTCATTTCATGTAACTTCTTTTCTCGGCGAGTTTTGTTCATTTCAGAAGAACTGAAGTGATCAATTCTTAAGAAGGGTGCCTCTTCTGGACAACAAATATCAAGATAGAATTTCAGATATCATATTATATTTTTGACTGTGTCATCCAGAATTTATTCAGCAAATCAGTCTTTGTCGGTAGCTATGAGCACGCTTCTGATACTATACATATTGTCATTACAGCGAAATTCATATTTAGTTTCGTCTTCCACATTTTTCTGGCGATATTCGTATACTACAACCATTCATCTCCAGTAGTGAGGCTCTTTGTCTGAATGAAGAATTTACAATAATCAGTTCCCTTTATTAATTTGCACAAAGCTATAAAGAGACGTTATCTATTTGCACAACACATTTCAAACAATCTGATCTCATACGGACTGTCATAGGAATATATATGAAATTAATGAAGAGTTAGGATTTCAAAAAATATAAATTAAGGTCAAGTTAAAAGGAAATATTGAAGGTCAAAATAACAATTAAGCTCACTAAACCAAATAACGGAGGTAATAGTGCATCTGCTATGGTATCAAAACAAAATTTACCAAAGAAGGTTTAGTGTGATGACTAATTGTTTTTTGAACGCATTTATGTGGTTTAAACTTACTAATTGCTAGGACTTCCACAGACTTAAGGATTCGCCCTAAACAAGTTTTATAGGTAGGTTTGAAAAATCTGTTAACGTCAATTTTATGTCGTTTTTCTATAATATGTTTCGCAATAGAGGAGCTAGGTCTCCTTTTCCCACCACTAATAGGTTCTGAACATTCTATTTATTTTGGTGCCATTTAGGAATATACTCTGGAGCCCTTACTTGCAGAGATCGATGAGTCCTCCACACGTTCATTGAAATTGGTAAATACAGTGGGATGTGAAATCAGTATTCGCGTGTTCAGAGGGCTAAAATTGAAATATCGGCCTGACATTCTCAATTATTCTGACAATAGCTGCAAACAAAGTCTTTTTAACAGCAGCGTTCCGTCTCTGTCTAGTTTTCAAACTGCTATGCTGCCCCATATATAGAATAGCTTGATGTACGCGTCATTCTTAGGAGCGAGTTGTAGAGTAAGTCATGGTGTTCTGAATATTTGATATCTCCTGATGAACTTGTCTGGATAATTATTATATCAACCAGATTTTATGTCAACTATCTTTCTTCTTCATCAAGTGTGTCTTCAGTGCATATTCGTTGGATTCTACTGAAGAGGCACCTTACTAAGGCTCTTTTATACCGAACAGGCTAGAAACTGTGGTCGAACTGAAAAGTTGACAATATTTCCGTGACCTAATGATGTAAGGAAACTGCAGTCACAAGAGATGAGATCGGCGTTCACAACTGACAGAGAGTCGTCAAGTGAAGTAGAAGCAACTGAGGTGAATTCATCACTAAATCAGAATAGCTTTTAAGGACTGTAAAGTACCAATATGAAACAAAGGCAAATTACTTAAAATATTGTAACAGTATATTACAATTGTTAAGGTTAATACATTATGAGAAGTTACAGTTTCTTGCAATTAGGTTTCAGTCCAAATTTCACAATTTAAATAATATAATCCGGAGGTAAGGCAAATGGATAGACTCTGTGCGTCGGTGGCACAGTGGTTAGGACTATCGCCGACCATGCACACGGTCCGTGGTTCAATCCCCTACCGACGCACAACCGATATCTATGGCCAGCCTGCGAAATTTGGGCTACCGATAAACATGCTGAAAATTCCATACTTGTACTGGAAATACGGTGTGGCATCAAGCTGTCAACAAAAATAAAAACAAACAAAACTCCACCAACGATATTTTTGATTGAACACTAGTCAGTAACTAGTGTAATGTGTCTAGTCCTATCTTCGGTGCAGACTGAATTCTATCAGTTATGTTTGCAATGTGGCCACCATGCTAGGTGGCTCGCCATTACGGTGCACTGTGAATTGTTGGTATTAGATGGTTGGAGGCAGTCGGCAGGAAGCCTTGGACCTAGGTTTCGTGCTAGTTGGCACTCATCAGCAAGGCGTATCTGCAACCTTGAAGGAACTGATGTCCCTTCTGAGATTCGAACCCGCGTCACCCAGTTCTGCAGTCAGAGACGTTACCACTGAGCAATTCAGGCTCGCGACTGACCTCCTGTAGGACTGTATTGGATATTTTTGATTGAACACTAGTCAGTAACTAGTGTAATGTGTCTAGTCCTACAGGAGGTCAGTCGCGAGCCTGAATAGCTCAGTGGTAACGTCTCTGACTGCAGCACTGGGTGACGCGGGTTCGAATCTCAGAAGGGACATCAGTTCCTTCAAGGTTGCAGATACGCCTTGCTGATGAGTGCCAACTAGCACGAAACCTAGGTCCAAGGCTTCCTGCCGACTGCCTCCAACCATCTAATACCAACACTCCACCAACGACATTACTGAAGGGTTCATTGAGTGCGGTTTGAATGAAGATGTGACTGCTCCTGCGAATTCTAGAATGAGCATCGAAGAATAAGATATAGGAAATGTATCATTTTGGTCATCCGACTATAAAGAGTACAAATTCATTACTCTTGGCACTACAGGACGGCAGTATAAATGTCAAAAATATTTATGTACTCAAACTTAGTTAAAAGTAATGAAGTCCATTTCTTTAACTGAAAATCTAAAACATACATTGGTGAAAGCGAACCACTGAGGATTAATGAATGGTACGACTCCATCACTTGTAAGAGTTAGACTTGGTTAACTTCGACCTAAAAATAACCACTCTTACAAAACTTCTTCACCGCTTATGGCCTTAATCGTACTCTGCCTAACGTGCAAGTACTAACGAACGGAATCAAGGTTAAAAGACCTGAGATGGCAAGTGTGACTGGAACAGAATTGTATTTACACAAAAGAGATATAGAATTTGATAAGAAATAAGAGGTACACACTTATCTGCAGGTGAGGCGGTGTAAGCTCTGAGAGTGTGCTAGGTGAAAGCACAGCGAGAGAGCGAAACCGAAACTGTACAGGAGGTTCAGGAATACAGAGTGGAAGTTGGGTTAAAGGTCAGGCTGAGTTCATTCAAACAAAAGTTCGAAGGTACAATGTACACTACAGGTTATCCCCCCCTTAGAAGGTTGGTGGGATAACAGCAAGCTTCGATACATAAAAGTGGCAAGGTTGTGTACAATAACAGTGAATGAACAAGAAAGTGTGCAGATAGTAATAAAATAGTTTTTTTTTAAATATATATATATATTGTGAAAGGAAAGAATGAAGGAAAAAAAATAAAGACAATTTATGAGCGCTAGGTACATGATCAATGGCGTAAGATAGAATATAAGAAGGAATAACGTTGGTGCCTTGGTGCGATTTCTAGCTTCTGAGTTGCCTGTTTTTTTTTTCTTTTTTTTAATATCTGTTTATTCAGTTGTTTTTTTTACGACATACTATTACGGGCTGGATTATGTGGAGGTCTGATCGTTTACCTCCGTTACCCCAGGTTGTTATAACGGGAAGGTGACTCATTATGCCTAAGTTTCATCTTAGACTAATGCTTCATCCTTCCTTGTCAACCAAAACTAGAAGTAATACCAAAGGCAATCAGTATACCAGCGTATTAAGAGGAAGAAAGTAAAAGCAACAGAAAAGAATAGAAGAAGAGGTTAAGATTTAAAAATCAGCATAAGGTGTTAACAAGAACTGAAGCGGAATAAATGCGAAGGAACTAGTGTAACATGGGAGTGGTACGCCAAATTGAAATAAAACAAGGGAAATTGCTAGCGCTGTGAAAACTTATGCAAGGTACAGAGAAGTGTGTGTATAACCAAAAGCTATGAATAGGTACAATCACCATTTGTTTAAAAAAATGTAGCGAGCTGTATAATTAAAGTGATGCAAAGTAATTACAAGTATGGGTCACAAAATAAATAAGTTTCATCATGGCATAACTCGAGTAAAAATAGTAAAATCTGTGAAAATAGATTGAGCGGATTAAAATGTACAGTATAGAAGTGACGTATTTATATGCAAAAATATTTAACGGTCCGTTTAACTATACAGTGAAAGTTTTTGTTTTTACATTTTATTATATTGTTTTATTTATTTTATTATTTTTTTTATCTGGTCCATATTTTTGTTCGTTTGGTTTGTAATTCCACGAGTGTTGGGAGCCACCATACGACAATGGAATGGACTGGTCTAGCTAGCGGTTCGCGTGCAACGCCAAAAATAAAATGTTAGAACACTGTAACGAGAGAGAAATCTAACAGGATTAGTAAATGAAAAAGTGGCTACTGCCCACAACGAAACCCAAAAGAGTAAATATCATGAAAAATGAATGTAACGTGAGAAAAGACATGAAGGTATGAGTAACTCTTGTAATTAAAAGCGTTTAGTTAACAAATTCACAGTATCGTTTAGGCCAGTGTACACGCCGACCAGAGCGTGTAACCGGTGCTTTACTTGTCTCATCCGGAGAACTGCTAGGTTTAGTAGGATTTTCGACAATCGAACTTGGCTGGGGTGTGGGTGCGGGCGTAGTTGCTGGTTGTGTAGGCGTGAGGGGTACAGATTCTTCAATGTAGGCCGCTTTAAGTCTGTCGACACTTACGGTGTCTTGACGGCCAAGTCGATCAATAACAAAAAATTTTTCTTTCCTACTAACGACCTTGAATGGTCCATCATAAGGAGGTTGTAACGGTCTACGAACGGCGTCGCAACGCACAAAAACGTGCGTACAGTCATCGAGTCTAGCATCTACTTGCACTCTCTTGTTTTGTGTGCGTGTGGGAGTTGGTTGCAGGCGCTGCATAAGGCGCTTGAGGTTCTGAGCATAACAATGTACATCCGTAGCACTTGTCTCACCAATTTTCAGGTGAGATAATTTCACCAGGTAGACGAAGGGTGGTAGAATTTTTGTCCAACCCTATCACATACAGTGGTTTGAAATCTATGCCTACATTACCATAGCTGTGTTGCTTTCGAGACTTCGTACACACTTATCAACTCTTTACTGCTATCACATGCATATCTGGCAGCGGTGCAAACTCGCCCACAGATTCCCAACGTAGTGTCAGGAAATTACATTAAGGTGGTAACTTCTATTGATCTAACGACCTTCCTGCAATGGTGAGACTTGTAGAATCATTATTTCCTGCCAGTGTTGTAGCTTGTCGGTTCATTGGGATATGCAGGCCCGACCATTATGTCAAGATACCAGCTATCAGTCGGGATTAAGTCTCTAAAGAACCGTAAATTTCGATTTCGAAGGTTGTTTGATTAATTTGATATGATTATGAGCCATAAATTGTGCTTGAAATATCACCTAGTGAACATTGTGTCAATTAAATCAAATAAAATCAAATAACTCACATGAGATTATGCTATACCTGAATGTAGATGTACTACTGTTATATCGTGTTACATTTTCATGCAGCAGTTTGACACCTTGTAATGTTTGCCGATTTTGTTCCACCTAAATAAATCATAGTAAAATCTGAATATTAAAATCTGTAAAGATAGACATTAAGCAGTTAATGCATTTCAACATCAAAAACAACAACAACTTTATTGATGTGGTTTCATGCTTTGTGTACAATGAACAGACCTACTGAATTTAACATTATTTTGTTGTTGTTTTTTTTGTTTTACTCCCGATTGTGATGCGTTTTTCAGCCGATTGTTTCTCTCACTGAAGATGATGAAGAAATATCTCCTGATTTGAGCGATTTACTTCCAAAGATTCGTAAGATTATAGATGTAAGTTGTTCATTCTTAATTAATTTCTTTTTATGCCTGATTATTTAGCAAAATGTCATGAAACCTGTTGATCCCGAGTTATGTCAGTTGTTAAAGTTATTGAGTGAAGGTCTGAGTATTGCTGACAGACAGGATGGATTTTCCAAGTATTTACGTGATCAAGAAAAAATGCATCTACCAGCCTCATCTACATCACACAGGTTAGTTGAAGTAAATTTAACGTATATATATATCGTGTTTTTTTCTTCTTCTTCTTCAGAGAAATCATGGAGATGGTTAGTTCATTGAATGTATTTTTAGCTAAGCTGACTTTAACTGCTGACACTGTTGACCAAATGGTAACCCTGTTTTTTTTTCGAAATTATTTATTGAGTGATTTTACAGAAAAACAAGACATTGATTCACAACCATGATCTAAATACTCAACCCTCTGAAGATATTAATTTTGATGGATAAGAATCTGAAGGCATCTGTAAAGCGCCATGTTCCGGAGGTGTGTGTGTTTGAATCTAAAAGTGATTGAATTTCTGTAATTGTGTACATAAATAACAGCGAGGAAATTACACAATGGAAAATGAAAAATTCGATTTACAGTGAAAGCAATTTAATACCCTTTTTGAATAAAATGGAATTTTATACTGAGTTATTACTTTTTTCCTCTCAAACTATTATTGACATAATTTGTGTTGTCGCTATGTGTATGTTTACAGCCTGAAGTCGACAGTTACTGTAGTCCATAACATATCAGTTGGACAAAGTCAACATAGGTAATGAACTACTAAAATAGAGTTGGGGACTGACAGATAAGCAGGAAGAATTTGTCCTGAATTGGACTGAATTTTTTTTTTAAAAACGTAGAACTTTGTATAAAAGTGCAGTAGTTTAGTCATCTAGAATTTATATTAGTTAGTTTACTTGCTGTATGCAAGATATTAGTGTTTTTATCTCTCCTATTATTTAGCCGCCACTATCATACTAGTTAGAAATTGATGTTTTTGTTGTACTTGTTCGTTTAAGTGGTGTTTACATGCTGTAGTTTATTTCTTTAAATTCTAAGTGGAACATAGGGTTTCAGTGTTTTCTTGAGCTTTGTAGTTTCGATAGCAGTGGTGTTATGTTTACGTGGTGGGAGGTTGCTAGCCTCATATCCAACTTTCACTCTTTACTGGTCTACACTACCGACTTAGCGAGGTTTTGGAAGTGCATCGGTTAAGGATTGAACGCCGGACCACTTGCTTGGTTGGCGAAAATCCTATTGCTGAACCGCCGACAACGCAGCACATACTGTTATAAAGTTGGTGAACTAATTCACTTCAAAGGGGTTGACGATTAATTACAGGCATTACGAAAAACGTCAAATCGTATGCGCTGCCCAAAGGGTAATTCTTGTGGTTCAGTAGCTTCAACAGGAAGACTTTGAGGTTTGGAATGATATGTCTGCCTACTGGTCTCAGTGGGAACCTCGTTTGTTGAGATCCGAAAAATTTTAGAAAGAGCGAAACTATTG